GGGCTTTATTGTACGGATAAGTTGGCATCCATTTAATAATTTACATTTATATTATAATTTACTCTCAATACGTTATTATTGCATACTGTTTTATTAATGTACTACAATACTGAAGTGCAGATAATTGCCACTATTTGCAACAAGTAGTATACTTGATAGTAGAAATCCTGCTATTTTAACATAGTGTAAATAGGTATTTGCACTTAGTATAAATAGCATATTGCTAAAAATACTGCTATTTTCACTTAGTGTAAATAGAATCCATTGCTAATACGAGATTGGAAAAGGGAGGGATAAAAAACTCGGCAAAAGGTGTGATCGAACCCGGGTCGATCGCGTCAAAGAGTCGGTGACACGCGCTTATCCATCTGCGCCACTGGAACTGATGTTTCACAGCCACTTTTTACTAAATGTAAATATACACCCCGTATTTTTTATTCCATAGTAAGGGCAATTCATACAATACATTTAAACTGAGCTACTTTAATACCATCTCCGAACTTTCTACCACGACTCTGCTGTTCTTCGGCTGGTTCTTCCCTGTATACGTTGATTGACAGATGTCTCGTCCAGTCAATGGTGAATAATCCCAAACCAATGGCACTGTCTCAAACTATACCTACCTTTTCCAGTTTGTCTGAATTGTCGTTGTGTTTTCTGACTTGTTCATTTGTTTTCGGATTTGTCGTTGTGTTTTCCGACTTGTTATTTTGTTTTCGAATTTGTCATTGTGTTTTCTGATTGGTTATAATGTTTTCTGAATTGTTGTTGTGTTTTCTGAATTGTTATTTTGTTTTTTAGACTTGCATTTGCGTTTGTAATTTGTTCTTTTGTTTTCAGAATTGTGATTTGTTCTGCACTTCTCGGCCACCGTACAAAACGCACAAGATGCAGTACTTTCAGTGACCTGTAATAGGCAGTATCACAGAAATAAACTGCTGCAGAAAAGGCTAGGTCCATGCAAAATGTAATGTGTAACTGCAACATAATTTCAAATGTAGTGGAGTAAAGAGTACAGAAACTCATTCAATAATGTAGTGAAGTAGGGAGTAAAAGCTGCTAATATCTTTGATACTCAGTACAACTACAAAGTATCAAAAAAGATCCTCAAGTACAGTAACTAATTACATTTACTCCAATACTTTACACCTCTGCTTTTGGGTGAACTATTGCTTTAATATTGGCTAATATTCAATAGTGCAGGATGTCATATCTGTCTGTATTTTGGTAGGCCCTGTGGAGCTCAGGAATCATCCGAACAGACCCGCGGATTAAAGACTGCTGCGGAAATTACAGGAAGCAGATGGAACTGTTGACAGGAGCACTTTTCACAGGCCAGACTGAATCTTGATACCAATAGTCAAATTTAAAGCATCTTAAATATAAATACTAAACACCCCTAATATTTTATGCTGCTAATATGCTTCATTTGTGAACGTCTTGCAGGTGCGTGACTGGCTTTGTGTCTTTCATCCTGAAGGCATTGCAAGGAAGATTTGTCATTCCAGATTTCTCTACTTTCACAGAGGAAACACAAAAGCTGTTTATGAAATGCAAACAACTCTCCTCTGTGAAGGTGCGTCAAATCTGTTTCTGCTGTTGTTGTTGTTCTTCTTTTTATATAACAGTCTATTGAAAAAGATGTGCAAAGAAGCCTTAAAGTAGCACAGGTTATTTTTTAATTGTCTCTTGAAAAATATCATAACGTGACTCATATCCTGTGTATTTCTGACTAGGAGAAAGAAGACATAAGAGAGGGTGGCATGAAATGGGGCATTTCAGTTTGTACCGTGGATGGACAGAGGTGCCACACAACAGTCCAATTCAATTGATTTGATAAGAGGTCTTCAGCAGGGGGTCTCGGCATCCCTTAGGGGGTCCACAGTGGCACTGAGAGAGAGAGATCAACACAAGAGAGATAAATCAGCATATTAGAATGATAATTCAGCTTTGCCATAACAGGAATAAATTACATTTTAAAATATATTAAATAGTTCTTTTAAATTGTAATAATATTTCACAATATGTCTGTTTTTACTGAAAATCTTACAACCCCAAACTTTTGGGATATGTGAAATATATATATATATAATCATTATAATAGGTCTTCAGCAGGGGGTCTCGGCATCCCTTAGGGGGTCCACAGTGGCACTGAGAGAGAGAGATCAACGCAAGAGAGATAAATCAGCATATTAGAATGATAATTCAGCTTTGCCATAACAGGAATAAATTACATTTTAAAATATATTAAATAGTTCTTTTAAATTGTAATAATATTTCACAATATGTCTGTTTTTACTGTATTTTTTTATGAAATAACTGCAGACTTTGTGAGTATAAGAGACTTCCTTTAAAAAATCTTACAACCCCAAACTTTTGGGATATGTGAAATATATATATATAATCATTATAATAATATTATTTCTATTTTTAACACACATTTTTCATTTTTTATAAACTTGGGATCTTAAATTGGTTGAATTTATCTTAACCAAAGCCACAATTAAGAAGTGAAAGTTCAGCTATAATTTGTTATATTATATTATGTTATATTAATATAAATATAAAAAAGGAACTACAATTGCAACTGTACTTATTTTTTTAGTACTCAAATTTAATATTATTACCAAATTATGAATTCAGTTTGCCTGTTGAAGTTTAAATGAGATGCTGCTGTTTTTTGGAATCTAGACTTTCCTTAGGAGACTGGGCTGAACCTTGCATTCTGGGAGAGATTTCCTGGCCTTTCATATACGGTCTCGCGGTGGACCAGCAAGGATCTGACTTTGTGCACAGATTTGTAGGGATGGAGGAATATTCCAAATACGAGTCTCCATTTACCCTGACCAAGCAAGGTATGTTCAGTCAGTTCATTCCACATATTCCATTTCTTTGATTTATGTTCATTTCTGGACTCAAGAGTTTGATGTTCAGTTCAAAGACTTTTGGCTTAGCAGTGCTTAAATACAGCAAACATGTTTGCAGGTGTGCCTCATAGTCCGCTGGTTGGGACAGGAGCCATTATATGCACTTCTTTATTACAGGTAACAGTGTTCCTTGTTTAAAAATGAACAAAAATTTACTTTTATTGACTGTTTTTGTCATAAAACAGCTGCCAACCAGACCAGTCACTGATGAAGAAGAAAAGTATGAGTCTGTAAGCTTAAATTTTACATTAACCTGCTACATTTGATGAAAAATAAAGCATTAAAGCAATCTTAAAGCAAACCATTTTCACACAGGTTTTGAATATCATCAGGAGACTGTGCAACAAAGATGCAAACCTAAACTGCACCAGGTATTTTCATGAGATTTTTATGATCAATTAATAATCATCATCATCACACACCTGCAGGTGTGTATAGGAAAAAGACCAAAAAACAACAACAACAACAAAAACTAAGTAACAAAAGAAAATCCTGCACGCTATGTGATTTTTATGAGAAATTTATTTTTTCCGGTGCTATTGAGTGTTTATTTGTTAGTGTTAATTGGAACCGTCATCACTGCCGTTGCAGTTATCAAAACCTGTGAAAAGACATCATCCATCTCCACACTCTTTCATTTTACTTCCAAGAGAAAAAAGTAAGTCCAGGGTAATTCCCTGAAAGATCAATTTGGTTTCTACATCACAAAGGGTCTTTTAAACTCATCTGTTTTTGATAACTAAATCATTCCAGTGCTTTCCAGAAGGTGTGGGGATCAATTCTACGCTGGATTTACTGTTACAGGTATTCAGTTTTATGTATTATATTCTGGATAAGAAAGAATGCATGATTGAATTTTCATTTTGCATACGTCTCAGTGTTTATCGACAAAAGTCACCTGCGAGTCTGGCGCGGCATTGGCCACAACCCCAGGTAATGGAGGACTGTGCCCCCTGTCAAGTGACCAAGAGATGTCACCCCACGCCATCCGCAGGCCGCAGCACGCTTTCCACGATGCAGGTGGCTGGTATGAATGATTATTCCAGAATGTTTCATTTCAAGGTGAGTTTGTGACTAAGCTGGTAAATAATGAGTCATATTTGTGTGATATATTGCAGATTTGACATCAGTTGTGTTTAAATTCACTCTCACATTTCTAACAGGATTTTTTACTCAATTAAATTTGCTCCCACTTTCATGTAACTAATTAAAATGGCCTCTACCCTGCAACGTTAATTAGCAATAATGGTAACAATCGTCAGTAATGAATAATGTGTCCATGAATTAAACAATGTCTAAAAAAGAATTTTATATACTTTTATTGACTGTTTTTGTCATAAAACAGCTGCCAACCAGACCAGTCACTGATGAAGAAGAAAAGTATGAGTCTGTAAGCTTAAATTTTACATTAACCTGCTACATTTGATGAAAAATAAAGCATTAAAGCAATCTTAAAGCAAACCATTTTCACACAGGTTTTGAATATCATCAGGAGACTGTGCAACAAAGATGCAAACCTAAACTGCACCAGGTATTTTCATGAGATTTTTATGATCAATTAATAATCATCATCATCACACACCTGCAGGTGTGTATAGGAAAAAGACCAAAAAACAACAACAACAACAAAAACTAAGTAACAAAAGAAAATCCTGCACGCTATGTGATTTTTATGAGAAATTTATTTTTTCCGGTGCTATTGAGTGTTTATTTGTTAGTGTTAATTGGAACCGTCATCACTGCCGTTGCAGTTATCAAAACCTGTGAAAAGACATCATCCATCTCCACACTCTTTCATTTTACTTCCAAGAGAAAAAAGTAAGTCCAGGGTAATTCCCTGAAAGATCAATTTGGTTTCTACATCACAAAGGGTCTTTTAAACTCATCTGTTTTTGATAACTAAATCATTCCAGTGCTTTCCAGAAGGTGTGGGGATCAATTCTACGCTGGATTTACTGTTACAGGTATTCAGTTTTATGTATTATATTCTGGATAAGAAAGAATGCATGATTGAATTTTCATTTTGCATACGTCTCAGTGTTTATCGACAAAAGTCACCTGCGCGGCATTGGCCACAACCCCAGGTAATGGAGGACTGTGCCCCCTGTCAGGTGACCAAGAGATGTCACCCCACGCCATCCGCAGGCCGCAGCACGCTTTCCACGATGCAGGTGGCTGGAATGAATGATTATTCCAGAATGTTTCATTTCAAGGTGAGTTTGTGACTAAGCTGGTAAATAATGAGTCATATTTGTGTGATATATTGCAGATTTGACATCAGTTGTGTTTAAATTCACTCTCACATTTCTAACAGGATTTTTTACTCAATTAAATTTGCTCCCACTTTCATGTAACTAATTAAAATGGCCTCTACCCTGCAACGTTAATTAGCAATAATGGTAACAATCGTCAGTAATGAATAATGTGTCCATGAATTAAACAATGTCTAAAAAAGAATTTTATAGTCCCCTACTGCCCTCTAATGGACACAGTCCAGAATGCTTTATATTGTCTCTTTAATTCCTGGATAATAATGCAGATGTACCCATTTTAAATGTGCATATTTCACAATGGGAAACTGCTGAGGATTGAAAGTATAATCATTTATGTTGGATAATATGATTGTTTTCAATTTCATTCTGCAATGCAGACATCTGTGCCTGGCAAGTCCAGTCAGTCTAGTGTCGTACTGATCGTGGTTCCTGGAGTTCTGGGACTCATGTGCTGGTCTCCTGGACTGGACTGCAATGGAAATTCATGGAGGGGTGTCCATTTCTGTGAGGTAAGGAAATGAATCAATATACTCCAGTATGAAATCAAAATGGAATTTTGTGGCTTTTTGTCCATGTTCCTTAGCTTTTTTATGTAAATGCTATTGCACTCCTTAACTCAGATAAAAATTAACTTTTAGAAGACATACGCATTTAAAATTTGCATTGTCGGACCAAAATGTTTGATGACTCATCCTGTATTATAAATGTATGTCCAATCATATGGTCTCTAGTATAAGAATGCCCCTCCCCCAGGTACCACCTCTGGCTAGCAATCTGACAAACCTAAAGCCTATTGTCTGGTTAAAAAAGGCCTCTAATAATTGTCTGTTTTGTCAAAGGAGCTGGTTTCAACCTTCCAGCTGCACAGTTTTGACATAAGAACTCCATTCAGACAGGTGCTGTGTTACAGACAGTGGAAAGTGGAGTCTGAGGTCTGGTTAATCTTTTCTATTATATAAACATATATGTATATGTGTATGTGTATATATATATATATACACACACACACACACACACACACACACATAAAACCTGCGAAAAGACATCATCCGTCTCCATGCGCTTTCATTTTACTTACAAGAGAAGAAAGTAAGTCTGGGCTAATTCCCTAAAATATCAATTTTGTTTCCACATCACAAAGGGTCTTTTAAACTCATCTGTTTTTTCATAACTAAACCATTCCAGTGCTTTCCAGAAGGTGTGGGGATCAATTCTACGCTGGATTTACTGTTACAGGTATTCAGTTTTATGTATTATATTCTGGATAAGAAAGAATGCATGATTGAATTTTCATTTTGCATACGTCTCAGTGTTTATCGACAAAAGTCACCTGCGCGGCATTGGCCACAACCCCAGGTAATGGAGGACTGTGCCCCCTGTCAGGTGACCAAGAGATGTCACCCCACGCCATCCGCAGGCCGCAGCACGCTTTCCACGATGCAGGTGGCTGGAATGAATGATTATTCCAGAATGTTTCATTTCAAGGTGAGTTTGTGACTAAGCTGGTAAATAATGAGTCATATTTGTATCATATATTGCAGGTTTAACATCAGTTGTGTTTAAGTTCCGCAAATCTTCAGTTTAAATTCACTCCCAGTTTGGGTGTAAAAAAGGGGTGCCCCCCCCCCCCCCCCGTTAAAATCAGAAGATTGATACAAAAAGAAAATTCAAAGGCTTTATCAATTCCTACAAGCACAGTGAAGTCTATTATTAAGAAGTGGAAGGTATTTGGTACAATACAGACCCTCCCTGGATCAGGACATTGCTCCAAACTGGATGAAAGAGCCTGAGGAAACTGCTCAGAGAGGCGACCAAGAGGCCTACAGCAACTCTGAAGCAGCTGCAGGAATTTATGACAAAGAGTGGTCATTGTGTGCATGTGACAACAATATCACAAATTCTCCACAAATGTGGCTTGTATAGGAGGGTTGCAAGAAAAAAAGACACTCCTCAAGAAAGGCCACATGCAGTCACGAGTGAGCTTTGCCAAAACACAGCTTGAAGATTCTGAGGCAGATGAGATTAAAATTGAATTATTTGGCCTCAACATCAAACAATAAATCCATTCCAGCTCACCATCCAAATAACAGCATTCCTCCAGTAAAGCATGGAGGTGGTCATATCCTGTTATTGTTTCTCTGCAGCAGGGACAGAAGCACTTGTCAGGACAGAAGGAAAAATGGAAATAATTCTTGAGTAAAATCTGCTGCCCTCTGCCACAAAGTTGTCAGTGGGAAGAAAGTTTACCTTCCAACATGGCAATGAGCCAAAGCACACAGCAAAACTGAGCACACAGTGAGTGAAGGAGAAGGTGAATGTCCTTGCATGGCCTAGTCAAATTTAACTAAACTTGAGCAGTTCTGCAAAGAAGAGTGGGCAAATATTGCAAAGTCTAGATGTGCAACGTTAGTAGAGACAGAGACAAATCCCAACAGACTAAAGGCTGTAATTAAAGCAAAAGGTGGTTCAGCAAAATACTGACACAAGGGGATGATCCTTTTCCAACTCAGTGATTCTGTTTTTTTTTTGTTTTTTTTCTGACATGTTGGTGTTATATCTTTCACTTGGATATTATAAGTTTCACTGAGTAAATACAGCTGGATAAAACACAGACGGTGTCTGTCTTCGTTTCAGGCTGCAAAGCAACAAAATGTGATTATTTTAAAGGGGGGTGATTTTTTTCTATACCCACTGTATATATATTAAATACATATAAAAATAGCTGTCAGGATATGGAGGTAAATAAATATTTCTTTTTTGAATTACAGGGATACCAAATTATGAATATACTTTTGGCTGCTTACAGAGGGGACAAAGTATCTCTGCGCAGGTAGGATGTCTATATTATATTATATATATATATAGAGAGAGAGTTATAATTTATTTTAAATAATATATTGAAATATATTCAAATTGTAAAGTATTTAGATATTATGGTAATATTTCTTGCTCTGCCTTTAATGTCTCTTGAATTTAAATTTACAAATTAAAAAAAAAACATTCCAGAAATGTCAATTATTTATAATTTCCTTTATGCAATATATAATTTATTTTGATTGCCAAAATGTCACCATAGCATTTTTTATTAAGTTTGTTTTCCATCTTTCTATAAATGACCTCTAAACCCTCACGGTGAATTATACTGAAAACAGTGAAAACAGAGTCCATTCCTCTTTTATAGGTACCTTCTGTCAGGAGCAGATGTGAATGCTGTGGATTATGATGGACGGTCAGTGCTGCACGTCGCAGCCTCTGAGGGCCGTCTGGATGTCATCAAGTTCCTGGTGGAGAACGCTGGTGCAAACTGCATACTCAAGGACAGGTAGCTTTGTCAAAGTCATGTATGATATGACGTACTACACATGATATGGCATTATATACCAGCCAACAGGACTAATGTGCCATATTGATATTCATAGGTGGGGAAACATGGCTTGACAGGAGGCCATAAGATGCAATCAAGACCCTGCCATCCAGTTTCTGAAGAAATACACAGATTATGAAGAGCGTTTATGATTCAATACTAATAACTCATTGGGTGCATTAATTTAGATTTGATATTTACATTCAACACACACATAGATACAGATTATATTTAGAATGAAGAGGAGGTTATAAAGAGCAGCAAAGACTTGGATGAAAAACATTAGTTGTATTCTGCTGGCAACACTCCCAGACGACCACTCACTGCTTATTGAGAATTACTGAAAGAGAATGAAATCTTGTTTTCTCAATAAATGCTTCAACAGCATGTGTTTACTGATTCAACATTCGAGCATTATGAATGAATCTGCACAAATCTAATGTCATCTTATTTTTGCTGTAGTTTTTGGGTAAACAACTGAATGCAGTTGAATTGTGTTTTCAGGACAAGGGTATTTTCATAAAGAGTGGGGCAAGGGGAGTTTCTCAGGATTCTTTGATGAATAGAAAGTTCAAAAGAACAGACGCTCTGCTAGCTGAAATGCTGTATTATGTACCACAGATACTGAGATTACCGAAGCTTTGAGTGAAAAATGTAAGTCATTTTAAATGTGATACACAAACTCTCAGCTATTTTATTAGGTAGCTGGAAGTACCCCAGCTTGCTTTGCTACTAATGTCTTTCAATCTCTCTTTACCAGATGCAACGGTTGTGGTTCACCCTCCTGACAAAGTCACCATTAAAGCTCCAACAACAGACAAGCCAACCAGCAACAGTGAGTTTAAAAAATAATAATAATAATTTAATTCTACAAGGATGCTTTAAATTAGACAAAAGTGACAGTAAAGATTTCTGTCTGAATAAAACGCTGTTCTTTTGAACTTTATATTCATCAAAGAATCCTGAAAAAATTTAAAGGTTTCCACAAAAACATTAAGCAGTTAATTAGAATATCAAAATTTTTGACAATAAGAAATATTTCTTAAGCTGCAAATCAGCATATTAGAATGATTTCTGAATTACAGTGTGATACTAAAGACCGAAGTAATGACTGCTGACAATAAAGCTTTGCCATCACAGGAATAAACAATCCAAAAACAATCTGAAAACCAAATGTTAAACACTCAAAAATGAACATACATTTGTCACAAATGATTCACAAAAGTGTCACAAATTTGTGTATGTGATTAGTGAGCTAGAAATAGTCACAGAATTTTTTTTCCAATTAATTTTAAATCACAATGCACTTTTTACATTTTTAAATATTTATTTTTCAATGTGGTCTTAGACTTTAATTTTCTATAATTCATAAAATAATAATATAATTTAATATAATATAATAGTAACAAGGAA